ATGATGTCAATCAAATCCACGACTCTCGCATCCCTCTGCTCCAGGAAGGTAATAAAAAAATGAGTATTGAAATCGACTGTATCAAATTTTATAGATGTCAACTGTTAATTCGGAAATGATATCAAGTGTTGATTCAAGTCGCACTTTCGTACTTGGTAAAAGACGAAAGAACAAACGAAATGTCTATGACTCGTTGATACGTTACCAACGTGCACATCGATTCGCAAGAATAATGAAACGAAGGATTTATCTACGCAGCAAGGCTGCGTGGGAACGAGATGACCCAGAAGAGACGTTCGGCGTAGACTCTGCCAGTAGCGTATGTGGGTCGGGCAAGGAAGACCCGTATGCAGATTCGGCACGATCCAACCAATCGAACGCAAACGCTTAGAAAATTATCTTATTGTTGATTTCAAATCCATTGATTGTATCAACTGTTATAACCCTTTGCAATTCCTGTCTTAAACTCAACTACTGAATAAAAGAATCCTAATAAAGGAATTTCTGTTATTGTAGAATGAGTCAAGAATCTGCCCACGAACAAGGCAACAATAATGAACACGTCAGTGTTCATACTGAAGCATCTAGCTTTACCCCTTCCGTCCAAAATGAACCCGTCAATCAACAAAATGTTGGGAATAACCCGAACGCTGATGGTCAACCCAACCTTGTGATTCCCACATTCCTGGCAAATGTATTACAATAGATAGCCAACGCACCAATGTTTCAACCACCTCCACCACCGCCACCGCGAGTGATAACCTACAAAACATTAAGGGATAACGGTGCAGAATTATTCCTTGGGGATCGCATCGGTGAACCCCAAATTGCATGGGACTGGATCGAGCAGAATGCTCGAGTGTTGGAGGATCTTAACGTACCCATTGGAAACTATCCTCGACTAGCGTCTCAGCTGCTTCGCAAGGAAGCCTACGAGTGGTGGAAATATATTCCAAAACGTTTTAGTGAAGAAAAACGTAAGGAATTTGTCGAATTGCAACAGGGAGACATGACACTCCCCGAGTATCGTCAGAAGTTTACCAGTCTTGCTAAGTTTGCACCAACCTTGGTGAGTACCCCAACCGATCGCATCGAGAAATTCAGGAAGAAACTTCGACCTGACCTTAGGTCGCGTGTGTCCGTCCTAACCACCGTGGATTTCGCGGAGGCCTATGATCTCATAGCCAGGGCAGACAGCGACTTGAGTGCTTGCATTGAGTATCTGAAGACAAATAATGTCAGTTCAAGCACTCACCATCCCATCAGCTCTATCTCAAAAGGAAAAAGGCCCTTCCAGGAATCTAGCAATTCACACTTCTCAAAGAAGGGGAAATAGTTGTAGACGCACTCTGTGGCGTCGGAAAACAAATCAAAAGGGTGGAAAAACCCATTGTGCGATACATGTGGGAGACATCATCCAGGCGAGTGTTGGCTTGCCCAAGGATTATGTCTAGGTTGCGGAAAACCTGGACATTTTCGAAGGGATTGCCCCACTAATCCTGGCAAACCATTTCCGACAGCCCCAGTTGTCAGCCAATCAGCGTCAGCACGACATGCGCCAAGTCAACGATCAACGGCGGGATCTAATCCGGCCAAGAACCAGAGTCAACAATAGGGACGAGCTCCTGCTCGTACTTATGCAATGAAGGCACGAGCTGAGGAAAACCCTGACGTCATTCAGGGTATGTTTTCCTTATTTGATTCTGTCATGCATGTGTTCATAGACCCTGGATCAACGTTGTCTTATATCTGTGTACATATGCCTGAAAAAGCTGACATAATGAAAGAACAATTGGAACAACCTATACTAGTGTCTAACCCGTTAGGACATAGTATGAGGTTAGATCATGTGTATCAAGACTGTCCATTGATTGTTGAAGGACATCAGTTCTCTGCCAATCTTTTCGAATTACCGTACAAAGAATTTGACATCATCCTCGGAATGGATTGGCTCACCGAACACCAAGCAATTATCGATTGCCGACGACGAGCAATCCAACTAAAGTCTGGAGAGGGAAAGTCTATAGAGGTGAAAGAGAATCTGACACCTAGATCCACTGAATTCATCTCGTACATACACGCTAGGCGTCTCATTTGAAAGAAATGTGAAGCTTATCTGTGTAACGTACGTGACACACGAAAGGAAACTCCTGAGTTGAAAGACATACCCACAATATGTGGTTTTCCTGACGTATTTCCTGACGAACTTCCTGGTATACCATCTTCCAGAGAAGTAGAATTTTCCATCGATCTTGTTCTTGGGACAGGACCGATATCTGCAACTCCCTATCGCATGGCTCCTGCTGAAATGAAAGAGTTGAAGGCTCAACTACAAGAATTAATCGATAAAGGATTCATACGTCCGAGTGTTTTCCCTTGGGGAGCACCCATCCTGTTTGTTAAAAAGAAAGACGGCTCGATGAGACTCTGCATCGATTACAGTTAATTAAACAAAGTCACAATCAAAAATCGATATCCTTTACCTCGTATCGAAGACTTATTTGATCAGCTTAAAGGATCTACTGTATTCTCTAAGATTGACTTACGGTCAGGATACCATCAAATCCCTGTAAAGAAAGAGGACATCCTAAAGACTGCGTTCCGTACTCGTTATGGTCATTATGAGTTTACGGTAATGCCCTTTGGTGTGACCAATGCTCCAGCAGTATTCATGGATCTCATGAATAGTGTATTCCGACCTTATCTTGATCAATTCGTGGTTGTATTCATCGATGATATTCTTGTCTATTCGAAGAATCGAGAAGACCATGCGAAACATTTGGAGATAGTACTCAGCATACTACGGGAACATAAACTATATGCCAAACTGTCAAAGTGTGAATTTTGGCTTAATGAAGTTACGTTTTTGGGACATGTGATTTCTCAAGAAGGTGTTAAGGTAGACCCCAGTAAAATATCTGCCATCACCGAGTGGAAGGTTCCAAGGAATGTTCGTGAAGTCAGACTACACAATCTTTAGTGACGCATCTCATAATGGCTTGGGATGTGTACTTATGCAAGACGGAAAAGTCGTGGCATACGCATCAAGACAGTTGAAATCTCACGAATGTAACTATCCTACTCACGATCTTGAGTTAGCAGCAGTTATATTTGCTCTGAAAATATGGCGTCATTATCTCTTTGGAGAGACGACATATATTCACACAGACCACAAAAGTCTGAAATACCTGCTAACTCAAAAAGAATTGAACCTGAGACAGAGAAGATGGTTGGAATTGATCAAAGACTACGACTGCTACATTGACTATCACCCTGGCAAGGCTAACGTAGTTGCTGACGCATTGAGCCCGAAGATGATAGCCGAACTCCGAATTCAGCCTACTCTTGAGAACGAAATTCACGTTGCACAAAAACGTGATGATTAATGTTTGAAGACTTGTGAACTTGTCTCTAAGGGGGAGAGACAAGATTTCACAGTAAATGATGGAATTTTATTCTACCGGAATCGTTTGGTAGTTCCTAGTGGCGAAGTGAGGGAACGTTTAATGCGTGAATCTCACGAAACCACATATACCATGCATCCTGGCAGTAATAAAATGTTCGAAGATCTAAGAAAGACATATTGGTGGCCCACAATGAAGCAGGAAATTTCTGAATTCACTACGCGATGTCTGACATGTCAACAAGTCAAGGCTGAACACCAAGTGCCAAGTGGATTGTTACATCCACCTACTATCCCTGAATGGAAGTGGGAACGAACTACGATGGACTTCGTTATCGGACTTCCATTATCAACCAAGAAGAATGATGTTGTCTGGGTAATCATTGACCGATTAACCAAGTCATCTCATTTTATTCCAATTCGATGTGATATGTCTTTGAAGAAATTGGCAGAATTGTACATCCGTGAAATTATAAGATTACATGGTGTACCTTTGTCTATCATTTTTGATCGTGACACGCGATTCACGTCGCAATTCTGGAAGAGTTTGCAAAAGGCTCTAGGTACTAAACTCAACTTTAGTACGACATTTCATCCTCAAACAGACGGACAATCTGAAAGGACAATTCAAATTCTTGAAGATATGATGAGAGCATGTGTAATTGATTTTGGAAGCAACTAGGAACAATACATACCGCTAATATAGTTCGCTTATAACAACAGTTATCAAGCGAGTATCCAAATGGCCCCGTACGAAGCCTTGTATGGGAGACGTTGTAGAACCCCAGTATGCTGGACAGAATTAAGCGAGCAAAGACTTGAAGGATCTGATCTCGTCCGCGAAACTGAAGAAAAGTTTCGTCTAATCAATGAAAGACTGCAAGTGGCTTCTGATCGTCAAAAATCATATGCCGAATTGAAACGTCGTGAGATCGAATACAATGTTGATGACAAGGTGTTTCTGAAAGTCTCACCGTGGAAGAAAGTGTTACAGTTCGGTAGGAAGGGAAAACTAAGTCCGAGATATATTGGACCCTATCGAATCACTAAACGTGTGGGTCCAGTAGCATATCGGTTAGAACTTCCACCAGAACTGAACAAGATCCATGACGTATTCCATGTATCGATGTTGACAAGATACCGTTCCGATCCATCGCATATCTTGACCGAGGGAATTGTAACTCTTGACGAACAATTGACTTATGAGGAGGAACCTATACAAATTTTAGCACGAGAGGTCAAACAATTAAGAAACAAATTTGTACCATTAGTCAAAGTGCTATGGAGGAATCACTCGACTGAAGAGGCAACATAGGATACCGAAGAGTCAATGAGAATGCAATATCCGAATCTCTTCAACCGATGACTCAGGTAATTTTGAGGACGAAATTATTTTAAGGGGTAGAGAAATGTAACACCCCAAAAATAGGCCTATCAGAATTAATTAATTAATTGATAATTAATTAATTACTGAGAAGGACCCAAAAATAAGTAAATTCTAAAGTTTGTCAATAATTAATAAAAATTATGTCGTTGTGTAGAGTTTGACTGTCTGATCCCAACGGTTCAAACAGATTTCAATTTGGAGAAAGTTGAACAAAAAAGTATACCCCAACTAGGACCAAAATTAGTCCCAATCAGGGACTACACACCAAACGGCGCCCTGTTCAATTACGCAGATTCCAAAATGCAAATCGCCGGCACAATCACGGAAGCAACCAAGCTTGTATCTTCTTCTTCTCCACTGGCCTATTTAAGCACAACTCAACTCCCTCAATTCCTCACCAAAAACATTCATTCTTCCTCCTATATTGTTCCTTGCTGAGAGTAGAGTGCAGTGGTGCTGTCATCTTTGTGTGAGGTCGCCGGAGCAGTGAGATAGAGTCGTCGGAAGTTTTGCCAGAAAATCGTCAAAACCTCCATTACGCTTTGAGGTAAGCCCGTAGATATATCTAATGACTAGAATGTTCATATAGGTCGTTTCTACGTTCATAAATGGTCATTTGGTTGAGTTTTGTGTTTGACATGTTTGAAGAACCAAGATTCATAAACCTTGAATTTGATGTTAAAAATATGTTTTAATAATTCTAATATGATCTATGAACCTTGGAGAACATCTCTATATAGTTTAATTGAAGTTCGGTGACTAAAAATGGTTTTCCCGAAAAATGGACCGAGGTTGAAGACGAATGAACAGTGGCTGGAAATCCACAGAGTGGATCGATCCCCTTCATTGGATCGATCCTCTGGTCCGGAAATTTGTCTAAAATTGCTATTTTTGAGTTCTAAAATCCTATTTTTTATACCAATTGATTATGATTATTATAAAAATGGTTTTTCACAACAAAAATGATGATTTTAACAAATTAAAACATTATGTGATGCATGATGGTAAGTTTGGGTGTTAACACTCGAGACTAGGCCGCTATTTGTTATTAAGCGATGTGTTTAATGATCTTTATGATAAATAATTATTATGGATGATTATGAATGATAAACCAACTGATTAGGATTATTATTAATGATTAAATCATTATTAAAATTGAATATAATGAGGATCACGAAGTAAGTGTGTTGTTAAGGCTATCTCGAAAACCTCTAAGTTAGACCTCAAATTAGATTGGGCCTTGCGGGTATAAATATGTATATTTGGTGGCCTTGGGTAAAAACGTACGTACGGGATCCATAAACCAAACTAGAGGAACTCGTTTGGGGATACCACCCAACCCGACAGTTAGTATTCTACTGTTCGGTTTTCTGGATTTGTACCTTAAGCGAAGGCTAGTTTAAGAGTTGGTAAATCAATCGGAATATGTACCTTAAACTAATGACCTAACTTAAGAGTTGGTTAGAATTACGTTGAACTAGAAATAGTTTAAGAGTTGGTAAGCATCAAAAGATTGGCCTTAGACTAAGCATAGTTTAAGGATATTGCTAATATTGAATATTGAACATGAGTGTTGATTATTGAGATATTGAAATAAAAACATTGAGAATATCATGAATGAATATTGTGTGCATGATAACAAATGGTTATTTGTGAATTAAGATTCAATTTATGTGAATGTTCAACGCTTTAGATATGCTTACTCAGCTTTATCGCTGAGCGTGTAGTGTGTTTTATTTGCTACACGCAGGTAGGCAGAATGAATGATTGACATGATCCTGGTAGCGGATGGGGCAAGACTGTTGTGGTGGAATTTGTGATTTTTAAAATAAATAATCGTGTTGTTAATAAACATTGGTTTAAATTGCTTT